TGAGGATTTTCTGCACATTTGAAAACTCAAAATGCTGTTAGATTCTAGTAAGGGACACATAATAAGTGGCAGTTTCCAGATTTTTTAAGCCCTCTCTGTTCCCTGGTGGGGTCTTCAGGCAGTTAGTGATGAGTGTCTTCAAATGGGTGGATGAATTCTTTCTCTTGGCTTTGAAAAGTAGTTGTCTGGTCCTGCTAGAGCTATCCAGTACGTTCCACTCCTCTGTTCCTCCTTCAACCTGAGTTAAACAGTTCATTACTGACCTTAGATGAGTTCCTTAATTTATAATGACCAGGTTAAAAGAGTTAAGTATGAAATTATTTTCCTAATATGTCATCAGTAATTAGGGCTGGGATAGTGGCTAGCAAACCCTTTGGAAGAGGTTTATGTAGAGGTGAAGTGAGGAATACCAGAGCAGGTTTGCTATCAACCTGTAGGTGTGCGTGATGCAGAATGTAAGGGGTAGGGTTCATTACTTTTAGATGGACAAAGAATCCTAGTTCTTTTGTTGCACTGGTAGGACACTGTACCTCTGAAGAGCCATCAAGATATTTTGGAGGAGGGCTGTGCACCTCTAGGGCAGGTAGGAAGAAAGGCTGACCGCTCGCCTGCTGCATGGAAAGCACAGGGGTGCTGGCTGCAAGACGAGCAAGGAACACTTGCAATGAAGTGTCAAGATCAGTAGTACAGAAATGGGTATTGAACACACAGAATATGTCACAGCAATCCGATAAATGCGTGTTATGATCTTTTTTCATGTCGCCTCTTCAGTTTAAAGCTGTAGGTGCATAAGCACCTTTTGTTTCTCTTCCTCTTATGGAACCGATCTTGGGCTGTTACTCAGCAAGACGGTAAATCTGGTTTTGGGGCACATCACTCATGCTGCTTATTCTAATGTGTTTAAATGAACGTGAGAGCTAACTTTATCTTAGGAGATTTCCTGCTAGATCGGGTATCCTATCTTCTTGCAGGCCTGAAAGCATGAACTCCAAAATGTGTGTTCTGGTTGATTCAGCCGGATGAGAGTTGAGTGTCCATGACTGATCTGAACCAAATCTGTGCCACTTGGAGGTCTGGCAGCGTAGAGCCGTGGCTGTGAGGTGATGACCTCTGCGCTGGCAGATGCACCTTCTTGTTGGCAGCATGGGCTGCGAACCAGCAGTCCTTGAGTCTGCCTGGCCTTTTCCCTTTCCTTTCCGACTGCTCTGCAGAGCATAGCGTGTCGCAGTAATGCGGAGGTCGTTGTTGAACTGTGCTGTTGAACTGTGTTCTGTTTTCTGTAATCGTTGTCTTCTGATGATCCAACATGCAAAGTGCAAGCTCCTCCTGCGCTGGAACCCTGGGCTGACAGGAGCTACAAGGGACAAGCGAGGAGCTTGCAGAGTTCCAAGGGCTCCAGGTAAATATGTGTATCAGGTCCTAAGTTGCTGCAGACTGTGGGTGTTCTGCTGACAGCTGGACAGCATCAAAGTCTTGAGGCTGCTCTGTGGAGGGTATGACAGGCAGTTCTGCTTGGAACTGCATGTGCTGTGTGGAAATGTTTCCAAATAATGGATTTTGATCATTTATCTATCTGATTCTCTTACCTCTCAACACTGTATGCAATAACCATTTCCCTGCCCACAGTAATATGGTGATGCTGGATTTTCCTCGTGGTTGGTGGGCAGACTTGGATTTTAATTTCTGACCTTCCCTATGTTCTTCACTTTCATATCAGTGGGAGGGACTAGATACTTCTGATCTCGCTTCTGACTACATTCAAATCCAACCAAGCAATCAGTGACTTCTCTGACTTGTTTTGTATACGGCTGTGGGAAAATTCCTGGTTGGCTGGCTATGAATTAATGAAAATCCTTAGAATGCTTCACTAATGATAGCTCCTGTGGCTTTAAAAATGCTATTCCCTTTTTTAATTTGAGGGAGGTCACAGAGGTTTACAGAAACTAAGAAAAGAAAACTTAACATCTGGTTGTGCTCTGTTGATGACTGCCTTTGTGTGAAGGAAAGTTATGGCGTCTCCTCAGCATCAAACGCATTCAAGGTGATCCTTTCTAAGAACTCTTTGCAAGAACACTTTTCACTCAAACTGTGTTTTCTAATTAATTTTGCTTTCTGTTTTCAAATGGAGGATTTCAGTTCTCCATGGGAATCCAAACTCATAATATTGTCTCTTAAAATACACCCTACCTTTAGAGAATGAACTTATTTTCTGGAGTTTTATATGGAACATAAAAATTATTTATGTATGTTTCTAATATTTTCCTTTAAAGCTGTAGAACTCCCAGATTAACACAAGCTATTGGGTTAGAGTCTGGGATTCGTGAAAGAACGTTTTTTTGTTTGCATATCCATAGTGAAGTTCTGTCTCGTCTACTTGCATATAAAGTTCTAAAGAGTAATCTGGTTTGTAAAAGCCCCCGTTTTATAATTTTAATTTTACAGGCTAAAAGAGAGTGGTTTTTTTCCCCCTTTTAAATAATGCAGGTTAAAATCATGTGTGGATTTAGTTTAGCTAGTAGGAATGTTTAGGTCCAAACAGTAAATCTTCTAAACTGTTAAAACTAGAAGCTATCAGCTGCTCAGTTAAACATATGTGTTGCAGGTGTGAGTGCCTGGGATTCAGAAAGCATAAAACCCTACAACTTTAGAGATTTTAATAGTCACATTATCTCTTTATTTTATACAGTGATTTAAACCAACTATTCAGGCCTCTGCTTGTCACCTACTTGTGGAAACAACAATCTGCTTTGTTTTTAAACATAGAAGACTAAGGGTTTTGTGGGTGGTTTTGTTGCTGTTGTTTGTTTGGTTAAAGAGCTAAAACCCTGTTAAAATTAGTGGCAAAACTTTGACTTGTATGTTCATGGGATTTTGTCTTTCCTACCTCAAGTGGCTTGATGCTCTGTGACTGCCCAGCACTAAACCGCTGTGACTGCCTTTGGTGCGAAAGCTGGGTGCTGTGCACACCAGGAGAACAAGCCTCTAGTCTGGCGACATCCTTGTGTGTATGGGATTGTTATACCTGCAGCCCACTGCCACGGTAACGTCCCACGTGGAGAGCGTTAGGCTGGGTCTCAGCACAGGGCAGCGCTGCAGCCAGCCAGCCCGAGCAGACCTGTTGGGTACCAGGAGCAGGGTGGCTGTGCCAGCGGGCACCGTGCTCGCGTTCACGGCTGGCCCCAGGCAGAGCACTTGGCTAGCACGGCGGTTTCTGATCCTGAGGCTCTCTTGAGAGCAGCTGTCTTCAGTCTCAGTGTTGCATAGGTGTGTCCTGGAACAACCCTGACAGCGGGTTGTCACAGAGTAGATAGTGCACTGTAAATTTACATCTTAGTTTATCACATAATAACAACTTCCCATACAAACAGACCCTTAGGGATAGATCTGTTGTTGGTTTGGGGTTTTGGTTTTTTTTTTCCATGTGCCATAGTATCTTTGGGTACTGCTGCCCAGACGATGAAGAATTCCACCCCTTTCCCCTGTCTGAGCTGTTCAGGTACCAGTCTGTATGTTGTCTCAAAGCCCTTGTAAAGCCTGTGTGCCCAGCTTCGCGTTCCTCTGGTTTCTGTGGGGATCGGTGTTACCTCTGTCCGGGTCTGACCTGTATGATAACAGTACTAACATAATGAGGATGGAGGTTGGAACCCGTAAGTTGTGCAATTTACTCTGAGCATAAAGACTGCTCTGGATGAGCTTGGTGTGGGATGGAGTGGGAAGGGGGCACTGTGGAATCGTAAACCTTTTTAGCAAAGTTTTCAAGCTTGTGCTGGGCTTCCCCTTGAAGTCTTAGAGATACGGGGTATAAATGGGTGATTTAAGCTTCACCCTGTAAGTGTGAGCAGATCCTTAGAAGCTTCGAGTGGGATTCTGGGAAAAAGAGTGGAGTGCCCCAAGTCCTGTGAACTTTCAATGGGATTTGTTCTCTTTGGTGGCCTAGGGTGTAGTTACATACAAGACATTCCTGGCTGTCTAGGGGCCAGGCTGGATGTGGCTTTGAGCAACCTGGTCTAGTGGAAGGTGTCCCTGCCCATGGCAGGGGGGGTGGAACTGGATGGGCTTTAAGGTCCCTTCCAACCCAAACCATTCTGTGATTCTATTCTGTTCTTTTATATTGACTCAGCAGTGAAGCTGGTTGGTGGGATTTTCACACCCATCTGCTTCCTCCCACCCTGGTGTTGCTGTTTGCCCTTTCCTCCCCAGCTCTTCCAGTGTACCTGTTTGTGAGCTGCGTTGTGCATCACATGATTCCCACAGTATGAACTGACAGTATACCTGTTCTTTTTTTTGTCTTTTTTTCCCCACAACTGGGGTCATTTCAATGACATGGATGAAGTGAGGTCCCCTGGCAGTTGTGTATGTTCAGAAAGGGTGAACCACAGCATGAAGGAAGAGCCAAGGACTGGACAGGGGAGTCAGGAAATCCCTAAGCTAATTTTGGGATTAAGTCAAGTGTTCCATGTAACTATTCAGATCCCTTTAAAATTCCCACCCTTGAGGCGTGTGACTTTTATGAAGGTATCTAAATTACCAAAAGAGCTTGGGGCTAGTGTACTGAGCATGTATGAAACTTCAAAGTCTAAATTGTACAAGATTTTTCATGCAAACGTTTTCTTAAGTACTGAGTTTTTCACAGGCAAGGAGATGATAATGTTTCAGAAGTCACTTCTGTGTCTCTTGAAATGCAGCCAGCTCTGTGGTGGAACACAGCAGTTGCTTAGGAGTGCACAGTAACGCTATACAACCCTTCCTGCCGGGAAATTATTCATTTGCAACCCGAGGGGGGGAATTCACTATACAGCCTATAGTTTGTGAATGGAATTTGGGCAGATCACCACTAAAATTCCAGATTGACCCACCTAGGTCTTGTATAACTCTACTTCTGACCTTGCTCTGAAGACAGCATCTCCTATTAGTATGGTATCTATGAGTAAATTTGTGTAGTTACAGTGTACAGTTAAAGATCATTCCCCATTATGGCCAGCTTTGATTTTATTTACTGTGTCAGAATTTTATCCGAGGCCTCCTGATACCACGTCACAAGGCATGTATTAACACCCCCAGAAGAAGGAGGACACAGCTGTATAGCCTGATGCTTTTGTTAAAAAGTGGTATCTTATGTTTTATTTTTCTGTTGTAGAACACAAAATATTTAGTTAGGGAACTTTTCAAAGAATTAGTAACATAATCTATTCCAAAATAGTTACACTTTTGCTCTGTTTACATTTTTTTCTGCAAATTACATTGGTGATGCTTAATAATTATCTTTACCTTAATTTACCTTCTGACAGGAGTGATAGGGTAACCACAAAAAAAGTTAAAGTTTTTAAGAATCAAAAGGACAAAAGAAGCACCTAACTCAGCCTGACCCGTAACAGGTGAAAAGTTGTTATTCCCTGCTTCTTCAGGACGTCAATGGAAACAAAACCTTGATCTTTTATTCATTAGTTAGGAATAATGCAAGTGGGGATAGCTTAGGTTTCTCCATATAGTTCCATTTGTAAGAATAATTCACTAATCATGCCATTCACTTTTGGGGTTCTTTTTCAGTAAGGACCACAAGCCGTGAAATGTCATGCAGAGGTTTGGAAATGGGACATTCAGCTCTCCAAAGAATGAGCTGCAAGGACAGAACTTTCCTTTTATTACATTCTGTCAGTAAATGTAGGAATCAAAGCCGTAAAATAAGGGATAGAATACCGCCCGGTATCAACTGACTCCCACAGTTTATTTGCATGCTTCATGGGGAAAGCTGACTTGTTAGAGGTACGAGTCCCCCACCCCAATATGCTTGGGTTTTGTCGCAGCAGAGAAAAGAGTTGTTTCCATGTTTATAGTTTACAACCAAGTCCAACTAGTATTCCTGTTGCAAACTATCATTTGTACTGGAAGTGAAGCTTGCTGGTCTTTGGATCTACTTCTCAGTTTACTCCAATAACGTAGTTTTATTTCAATAGAGATGAAGGTTTTAAAGTAAAAGGATTTTACATTCTCTGTTGTATTTATCTTCCTGTACACTGTTTTAGGATGAGCTACTTATATATTCAGCTCAACTTTGCCACAAGAAAGTCAAGTAAAAGTTTGAGAGAAATACAGGTTCCATTTAACTTCTGAATCGCTGTATTCAGATCCTTAAGCTCGTAAAATGTTGTGCTTCTGGCTTCCTAAGCTTGTCCATGGTATTGACTTTCTGTAGAGAGACTTTTTTAGAAGTGTTTGTTTCTTACAGAAAAAAGATCAGATGGTGTGTGCCTCTCTTTAAAAATGATTGTAAATGTTTTTTTTTTTTTTTCAAGTATTTTTAAATTCAAAAGAGGTTTTTTTCATCATTTGATCAAAGTCACATAACCTGTGGCTCTGTTTTTGTTACACATGCTGATGGTCTGTGGATAGCATTACATTTTTTCAGCATGAAACTGAACACTTCAAATCCCTAAAGCAGTCTCAAATTTATGGTTAATAAAAGAATTTATTGTACTGGATGTCATCTGTTATATCACTCTGGGAACAGAAACTGGCAGTGAATGGACAGGAAATATTTCCATTTCAAATCGCTTCAGACTTACGGTCTTGGGTGAAAGTGTCTGATTTCGGAAAAATCACTTGAATATCAATGTAATGGGCGTATTTTTTTTAAGAGGAGTATAATCTTCTTCAAATACTCCTTTTTGCTTTATAGTATTTTATGTAAGGATATTACTTAGATAATCCATGTGTCATACTTTCTGTATTTCAGTATTGATCCCGTAACCTTTTCTAGGCAGCAGGAAAATTTCAGGTATTTACAGGCCAAGTGAACAGCGATTTGAGTTACTGTACGGTAGCCAAGCTGCTTCAAGGTCTGACCTTTGTATTTTTAATTGGCTGGTTTTTAAGAGAGTGAGCTGCTATGTGATGATGAGGTTCTTTCAGCTTAATGGATTTCTTCAAGTTGTCGCCTTTTCAAATGTATTGGAGTGTGAGATCCATGGATTGTAACTTCATTAATGGAAACGTCAAGCAGTCAGATGGAAGTTCATATTTTTCATGTGTTAAATAGTATTT